AGGCTCCATGCACCGGGAGCCCGACGTGGGATTCGATCCCGGGTCTCCAGGATCGCGCCCCGGGCCAAAGGCAGGCGCCAAACCGCTGCGCCACCCAGGGATCCCTTAATTTCTCTTTCTTCAGTCTCATTGTTAGTGTATAGAAATGCCACTGATTTCTGGGCATTGATTTTGTATCCTGCCACATTGCTGAACTGCTGTATGAGTTTTAGCAATCTTGGGGTGGAGTCTTTTGGGTTTTCTATGTACAGTATTGTGTCATCTGGGAAGAGGGAGAGTTTGACTTCTTTGCCTATTAGAAAGCCTTTTATTTCTTTTTGTTGTCTGATTGCTGAGGCTAGGACTTCCAGTACTATGTTGAATACAGTGGTGAGAGTGGACATCCCTGTCTTGTTCCTGATCTTAGGGGAAAGGCTCTCAGTATTTCCCCATTGAGAATGATATCCGCTGTGGGTTCTTCGTAGATGGCTTTTAAGATGCTGAGGAATGTTCCCTCTATCCCTACACTCTGAGGAGTTTTGATCAGGAATGGATGCTGTATTTTGTCAAATCCTTTCTCTGCATCTATTGAGAGGATCATATAGTTCTTGTTTTTCTTCTCTTGTTGATGTGATCTATCATGTTGATTGTTTTACGAGTGTTGAACCAACTTTGCATCCCGGGGATAAATCCCACTTGGTCATGGTGAATAATCTTCTTAAAGTACTTTTGGATTCTATTGGCTAGTATCTTTTTGAGAATTTTTGTATCTGTTTTCATCAGGGATATTGGTCTATAATTCTCCTTTTTGGTGGGGTCTTTGGTTTTGGAATTAAGGTGATGCTGGCCTCATAGAACAAGTTTGGAAATATTCTGTCCCTTTCTATCTTTCGGGACAGCTTTAATAGAATAGGTTTTGTTTCATTTATTTATTTATTTATTTATTTATTTATTTATTTATTTATTTTTGTTTCTTCTTTAAATGTTTGATAGAATTCTGGGGATCGCTGGGTGGCTCAGCGATTTAGCGCCTGCCTTTGGCCCAGGGCGCGATCCTCGAGTCCCAGGATCGAGTCCCGCGTCGGTCTCCCAGCATGGAGCCTGCTTCTCCCTCTGCCTGTGTCTCAGCTTCTTTCTCTCTCTCTGTGTCTATCATGAATAAATAAATAAAAGAAAAAAATGTTTGATAGAATTTCCCTGGGAAGCCATTTGGATCTGGACTTTTGTGTCTTGGGAGGTTTTTGATGACTGCTTCAATTTCCTCCCTGGTTATTGGCCTGTTCAGGTTTTCTATTTCTTCCTGTTCCAGTTTTGGTAGTTTGTGGTTATCCAGAAATGGGTCCATTTCTCCTAGATTGCCTAATTTATTGGTGTATAGCTGCCATAATACATTTTAAAAATCGTTTGTATTTCCTTGGTATTGGTTGTGATCTCTCCTTTTTCAATTCGTGATTTTATTAATTTGAGTCTTTTCTCTTTTGTTTTTAATAAGGCTGGCTAATGTTTTATCTATCTTAATAATTCTTTCAAAGAACCAACTCCTGGTTTTGTTGATCTGTTCTACAGTTCTTCTAGTCTCTATTTCATTGAGTTCTGCTCAAATCTTTATTAACTCTCTTCTGCTGAGTGTCAGTTTTATCTGCTGTTCTTTCTCCAGTTCCTTTGGGTGTGAGGTTAGCTTGTGTATTTGAGATTTTTCCAATTTTTTGAGGGATGCTTGTATTGTGATGTATTTCCCTCTTAGGACTGCCTTTGCTGTATCCCAAAGATTTTGAACGGTTGTATCTTCATTTTCATTAGTTTCCATGGGATTCAACAATTTTTATTTTTTTTAAAGATTTATTTATTTATTTATTTATTTATTTATTTATTTATTTATTTAAGAGAAAGAGAGAGAGAGAGAGAGAGAGAGAGAGAGAGAGAGGCAGAGACACAGGAGGAGGGAGAAACAGGCTCCATGCCGGGAGCCCGACGTGGGACTCGATCCCGGGACTCGAGGATCGCGCCCTGGGCCAAAGGCAGGCGCCAAACTGCTGAGCCTCCCAGGGATCCCCGGTATTCAACAATTTTTAAATGACTTCTTGGTTTTGTGTAATTCTTTTTTTTTTTTTTAAAGATTTTATTTATTTGAGAGAGAGCACATGAGCAGGGGGAGGGGCAGAGAGGGGGAGACATGCTGACTCCCTGTCAAGACCTGAGCCAAAGGCAGACGCTTAGCAGACAGAGCCACACAGGTGTCCCCTAGCCACACTTTAAATACTTGGTTGTCAAGGGCCATTTCTATCACTGCAGAAAGTTCTATCAGACGGTGCTATGTGAGATCTGACAGGAGGGGGAATTCAGTACTTCACAAATCAGGACACAGCAGCAGCTCAGCTGAAACCTACTGGTATAGAGACATAGTAACAGAGAAAATCATTTCCTTGATAAGACAGGTCTATTGGCCAGGTAGGAAGGATGTTTCCATATTGATAGGATAGGAACATGTGATCTCCATGCGGCTTAAATATGTGTGCCAATTATGTTTGCTATTTCATGAAGTGCAATGCTTCCTCATAGACCCAGCTTGGTTCTTCTCCAGTGCCTCCTCTTGGAGTTGTACCTGATTTTATTACCAGTTTTCTTTTTTTTTTAAATTTTTATTTATTTATGATAGTCACACACACACACACACACACAGAGGCAGAGACATAGGCAGAGGGAGAAGCAGGCTCCATGCACCGGGAGCCCGACGTGGGATTCGATCCCGGGTCTCCAGGATCGCGCCCTGGGCCAAAGGCAGGTGCTAAACCGCTGTGCCACCCAGGGATCCCCTTATTACCAGTTTTCATCCAAATTCACTGGGGAATGGGACGATTCTGCTTTTGTTTCTTGGCCAGGAATTGCTTGATTCTGAAAGTCTTGTGAGAAGACATAGCGATCACAGTCAACCACTTGCAACCAGGATGGCAGTGAAAAGGCAGTTTTGTGTAATTCTTAGAGAAGCTCTTCTCCTTTTTTTTTTTTCACACAATGACAAAATGTATTTTATAGATATTATGTACCAATAATGTATTTAAACAAAATATATTTCAAAACATTCTGCACAAAGAACTTACAGATCACAATTACTTAATAACAAAATGTCCAGTTCTTTAGGAAATTGTTTGTAATTTAAGGGACTTAACTACAACAAAATTTTTAAAACCAAAGAAATTACTTTATGGCACAGGACATCACAACTTATGTAATGAAGCAGGCAGATTTTGTTGTAGACACAGGATGGAGGGAAATCTAATTTAAATTAAAAAATTCAGGTAATGGGTATTCCTACATTTAAGCATCAGTTTTGTTTAGAAAAATAAAAACTTCCCAAATATTAGCAGCATACCTTTCTACCTTTACAATTCAGAATTTTACTGTTCATCTGTCAAATATATGACAGTATCTGGTTAATTTCTTAAACTTAACTATCAGTGTTACCCTTGAGATGCTGACCCTGTTGCATTTCCTTTCATATTTTTTTTTCTCAATGAACCTATGGCCTTTGACAGGAAAGGTAACTGAAACATGTTTAGATAAAAACTGGTCTTAGAGGGCAGCGCGGTGGCTCAGCGGTTTAGCGCCGCCTGCAGCCCAGGGCGTGATCCTGGAGACCTGAGACCTGGGATCCAGTCCCACGTTGGGCTCCCTGCATGGGGCCTGCTTCTCCCTTTGCCTGTGTCTCTGCCTCTCTCTCTCCTCTCTGAATAAATAAATAAAAATAAATAAATAAATAAATAAATAAATAAATAAATAAATCTTTAAAAAAAACTGGTAGATACTTTATTCATGAATAATTCAGCAAGTACTATTGAAAGCCTACTACATTTCCAGGTCTAGAAAGAGCAAGAAAGACAGAGTCTGCCTCCAGGGAGCTCACCATCTAGACTATAGCAGGCCCAGCACTTGTTCAGGATTACTATGAGCCTTCCTTTCATCTTTCAAGATTTGCATAGATATCGATTTCCTCTGTAAGGGCAAATAAAATATTCCCTTACACATATCATTCTTTATATTATCATAAGGGGAATTCTGAAGTCTGTGTGTTGACAAAGTCTACACTTTGCTTTCTCCAATTGCCCTCTGGGCCTTCTGACAATGTCAGATATTTTCTTTCCCTCTTGGTTCTGCACAACACACTCTCTGTGCTTTTGCCAATCCAGTTTGCATTTTCTGTGACACTTTCTTTTCTCCTTCACTGTCTTTTGTTTCCTTCCTCCTTATTAAAAAAACTGTCACTGGGGCTTTTCCAGGATCCCTTTCCTGACTTCTTATTCATATCGGTGACTAAACTTAACACCTCCTTAAATGTTGGGTCTTTAGTAAGCATAAAAACCAGAATTTCCAATTAGCAATTTTCTAGAGCTCTGTTGTGAGTTGAGATCTTTCCAATACTCTCTTCCTGAATACTATTTAGAAATATTACCCTCAATAAGAAGGATTTCTTGAAGATTCCTGTTTTAAAAGTAGTATTAAGAGACTGATAAAGGATACATAACTCAGCAAAGAATGCTTCTACTTTATTCTCAGTTCCTACCAACTACTGTATTCTGCAAGATCATAGTTAAAACTCTTTGGTGTGGGATATCAATTTTACACACAGGGCTAGATCAAAAAATTCCATTTTGGGGTCTCTGATATGTTTGAAACTTAAACAAAACCTAAATGATAAAAAGCTGAGATAGATAACTATTCATTTCTATGTCTATGTCCTTTATCATAAACAATATACAATTAGGAATTCAACTTTTTTAAAGTCTCCAAGTCAGATGCAATCAAGCCACGTATGTCCTATGGTCCTTTTATAAATTTTTAACTCAGACACATAGAAGATTTGGTAAACTTTAATTTCCCAAATATTCTCAGAAAGAGTTATCAGAAGCATCCACAACTTACAAAACACAGCTGGATAATCCATTGACCCCAAAGTGACCCCAAATGAAATACCTGTTATGTGTTGTGAGGTAGCAATGACAGACTATGATCTTCTGTGGAGATGGTACCCTTTGTGCATAAACATTCCTTCTTCACAGGAAGAGTGTGAATAACAAGAAGGGACAGAGCCACCCTTCATTATTTCATCAGCTACTGGTGTTTTCATAGTTTTAAATGCCTGATTTCAGTTTTACAACAATACCAATATTTGGAAAGGTCATCCTATGTTCCAAGCAGCAGATATTAACAACTTCCAACACAATCTCTAGGAATAATTTGAAGTTCTGAACCATGCCTTAGGAAAACATTTCCAATAGTCTGTGCAGGATTTATTCCTATTCCATCATTGGTAATAATTGCACTTGTTGCTGTAGGAACTTTAAATTCTTCTGCTGGAAACTTTAAGACTGCTGTGAGAGGTGTACTTTCAGGAACACTAAGTACTTTGTAAGGCAGCCGCGGGTCTGACATCAGCGTGATCTTAAAGGAAACCTTCAGCATAGTGAAGCCCCTGTGGACGGAGACCCCAACTAGTTCCGCCTAGACTCCCACTTCTTCTAGGGTACCCGGTCCCGCACCCTCTTCCCTTTTCAAGACTTAAAATCCCCCCCCCTTTTTTTTTCTCTGCTGAGCCTTCCTCCTATTTCTGGGAATTGGGAAATTTGTGTGAGGGTTGGCTCTCCTCATTTTCCTCTGGGAGGCAGAACGTCCATGGTCTCCTTCTCTCCCCACATGTCAGTTTTCTCTTGTCCCTGTGGTGATTTGTTCCTACCCGGTCTCCCAGGTTTGTGGTTGGAGCCCCCCAGGAGATAAAGGCTGCCAACCAAACAGGTGGCCTCTACCAGTGTGACTACAGCACGGGCAAGTGTGAGCCCATCCAACTGCAGGGTGAGTCACTGCCCCTCCCTGGGACCCAGGGCTAGGCTTCCACCTGTGCATATACCTGAACTTGCCAGGCATTTCTTTTGTTCTGGGGGGGGTCTGTGGTTTGGGGTCCAGGTGTTCAGCTCTCTGCCTCTGTGCTGTATGCAGATTCTACCTCAGACACCCTCAGGTACCCTCTTCATATTCCTTCTTATAACTTGTGTCTCTCCTTGACCTGTTGGATCTCCATGTCTCCCAAGTCAAAGTGACCTGTGTTTGTCTTCTCAGAGCCCTTTTTGCTCCCTGAAGGTGACCATTTATACATGTCTCCTCAGTCCCTCTGGAGGCGGTGAACATATCTCTGGGCCTGTCTCTGGCATTTGCCACCAACCCTTTCCGACTGCTGGTGAGTTGTCCTGGGTCATGGGAGTGTCCTGAGGGAAGAAGTCAGGGGCCCATGGCTGCTGCGGCTTTGGTCTGTGGAGGTTGGAGGTGCTCGAGTGAAAGGACAGGAAGCATGAACAGCATTTCCCACCTACAACCTTCCCCCAGGCCTGTGGCCCCACTGTGCACCAAACTTGTAAGGAGAACACCTATGTGAATGGCTTATGCTTCCTGTTTGGATCCAATCTATGGCAGCCGCCGCAGAGTTTCCCAGAGAAGCTCCGAGGTAGGTGGCCTTTGGGAGGGAATACAGATGGGCAGTGTGAGGGTAAGGGCAGGACTGGGGTGGGGGCTGTTTACAGCCTGGGGGATGACTTAGAGGTCTAGATGCAGAAGCTGGAGGAAACTGGGCTCCAACAGAGATGATGTGGAGAGATGCAAGGGTCTTGTTATAGCCACTTATCTTTGTAAGATGATGTCCCAACCATTGTCCTTAGAGTAACTACCTGAGTCTCCTGATCATAGCCTCTGAGGGTCTCCCATCCCTTCTACCTCAGTTACTGTACTCTAGGCACTCTGGCTGCCTTTCTTCTCCAAGAATGACATCAAGCTGTCCTTGCCTCAGGGTAATTACTTTGCAATTACTGTTCCTTCAGCCTGGAATCTTCTTCCCTCAGATCTTAGCGGACAATGCATTATTGTCATTTCAGCTCAAATGTCACCTCTTCAAAGAGGCCTTTCTTGAGCGGTTCTTATAATCATTTCTACCATCATTTCCTACCATATTGTCATACTTTACCATCTCCATATACATATTTTACTTGTTTCTTTTCTGTCCTTTCTTCTGGAATGTAGCCTTCATGATAGCAGGGATACTATCTTGTTCATTGCTCTATGCTCTTTTTCATTTTTAAAAAGATTTTATTTATTTATTCATGAGAGACACACACACACAGAGAGAGGCAGAGACATAGGCAAAGGGAGAAGTAGACTCCATGCAGGGAGCCTGACGCGGGACTTGATCCCGGAACTCTAGGATCACACCCTGAGCTGAAGGCAGACGCTCAACCGCTGAGCCACCCAAGCATCCCTGCTCTGTGCTCTCTCTCTCTCTCTTTTTTTTTTTTAAAGATTTATTTATTTATTCATGATAGACATATATATATATAGAGAGAGGCAAAGACACAGGTAGAGGGAGAAGCAGGCTCCATGCCGGGAGCCCGATGCGCAACTTGATCCCGGGACTCCAGGATCACACCCTAGGCCAAAGGCAGGCGCTAAACCACTGAGCCACCCAGAGATTCCCCCCTTGCACTCTTATATCTACTTCTGCTTAACAACTTGCCCTTAAACTTAGTAGCTAAACCCAATAAACATTAATTATATCACAGTTCCTGCAAATCAGGAATCTGGGAATGGCTTAGCTGGGTGCCTCTGCCTCAGGGTTTTTCATGAAATTGAAGTCAACTTGTTAAACTGGAGCTCATCCAAAGGCTTGACTGGGGAAAGAAGATCCACTTCCAAGCTCACTTACAAGATTGTTGGACTGAGGGCCCCAGTTTTCACTGGCTGTTGGCTGGAGGTTTCTCTCAGTTGCTTTTCACATGGGGTTCCCTATAAAGCAGCTCACAACTACTCCCCATAGAGCAGCTGGCCTCCCTTACAGTGAGTACACAAGGGAGTAGGAGAGCAAGAGAGAAAGAGAGAAAACAGCCAAAAAAGAAATCATAGTCTTCATAATCTAATCTCAGAAGTAATAGTACATTATTTCTGCCATCTTATGTTCGTTTGAAGTGAGTCAAAAATTCCATCTCACTTTCAAGAGAAGGTGACCGTGCAAGGGTGTTATATCCAGGAGGTGAGAATCTTGAAGACCATCTTGGTGGCTGCCTACCACATCCTTGTTCACCAAACATTTGTCGATTGAAAGAGTGAGTGAGCGAGTGACTGAATCTTTTCTCAAGCTGCTTTCTACCATTTATTTCTTCAACTGGTTGTCCATCTTTTTTGCTTGGCTTCAAGTTGGTTCTAGAACCAAGGGCTGATATGTCTTCCATTTATAGGTTTTCTTCCCCTTCAAGCTCTGCCTCTTTGTACTTTACTCTCAATGGATAACATTCCTTCCTTCTTCATAAAGAAAATCAAGGTTGCCAGGGATGAACTTGGTCTACTTACTCCTCCTTGTTCAAATTTTTGCAACAGTACCACCCTTGGCAGTGTCTCACTGGTTTTAGAGGCAGACCTGAGTGTTCACCTTTCCATGAATCACTCTTCTATCTGGACTTTTGAGGCTTTATCACATCACCAACCTGAAGCCCACATCCTCAATCATTCATTCTCTCCAGGAGCTTAAATTTCTCCTTCCTCCTTTGCATGTAAACGTGCTTACACTTACCCATATCTTAAAAGCAGTCAACCACCAATATTGATAGCAATTAAAATAACCTTTCCTCTCCCTGGTCTCCTCTACATCTTATGCTGTTTCTCCTTTCCTTCATCATCAAACTTTTCAAAAGAGTTCTCTCTTCTTGTTTCCATTTCCCCCATATTACCATTCTTCAACCTCTGACATGTGTCTTCTCTCCAACCTCTTGCAAATGGCATTTGTGACTTCCTAAATGCCAAATCTCTGTTCTGTCCTCATGTTTACTGACTTTTCTGATGTGACTTACAGATCATCTCTTCCTTCCCCAAACACCTAGATTTCTCCCCTCCTCTCTCTTCCCCTCCCTCCCCCCTTATTTCCTTCCCCTCCCTTCCCTTCCCTTCTTCTTGCTTCTCCTGCTGTCAAGGGCTTCTGCTAAACTTCATCTCCAGGCAGTCTCCCTCTGCCTTCCTTACATGTGTAGGGGTATTAGGTTACGGCTTCTATTCTTGTCCAAGTGTTCTTCCAGGCCAATTGCATTCAGTTCTGTGGCTTCAGCTCTTAGCCCCTCTTTAGTGTTCACTCTCAGCATTCAATACTTTTCTTTTAAAAAACATTTTCCGTTCTTATATTCACAAATATATACATATTTATAGTCTTCACTTTGTGCCACAAATGATAGCGTGTTGTACACATTTGATTTTTTTCATTTAACCTATCTTTGAGATTTTCAAAGATTTCTCTGGTTAATTTTCTTTGTATATTTTCCATATAAATGTTAGAATCTGCTTACCTGTTTTTAAAAAACTAATACTTTTTTTGGGGGGGGGTAATTTTACTTTTTCAAAGATCATACAATAAAATTGGCCTTTATTCTTTTAGTGTACAATTCCATGAATTTTAAGATATGTATATAGATTTTCATTAAAAAAACCAACATGAACATGGGGTGCCTGGCTGGCTCAGTTGGAAGAGCATGTGACTCTTGATCTTCAGATTGTGAGTCCCAGCCCCACATTGGTTGTAGAGACTACTTAAAAATAAAACCTTATAAAAAATCCAACATGAACAGAATGCAATAGTTCTATTACTCCCCTAAAAAGTCCTTTATGCTATCTTTTTATAGTTAGTTGCCTTCTCCCCATCCATCCTAGTCCATGGCACTTACTAATCTGTTCTCCATCACAATATAGTTTGTCCTTTCAAGAAGCTACATAAATGGAATTACAACCCTTTGAGATTGGCTTCTTTCACTAGTATAAGGTATTTGCAATTCATCTGTGTTGTTATGTGTATCAGTAGTTCTTTCCTTTTTTATTTCTAAATAGTATTCCATTGCATAGATTTACTAGTCCCAGTCACAAGTTCATCTGATCACACATTGAAGGATGTTTGGGTTGTTTCCAATGTTTGGCAATCATGAATGGAGTGGCTAGAAACTTTTGCTACAGCAATCTTTCTAAATACAGAAAACAATCATCTCACTTCCTTTTCTAAGAAAACTTCAGTGGCTATTCACTGCCTAAGGGATAAAGTCAAACTTCTTTTTTGGGATAGAGAGGTCCTTCCCAACTCTCCTTTGCTTAATGACATAGGCTCATCTCCATTCCCATCACACAGATTTATCCTAGTAGTGCCATTTCTGTCCCTCAATTCTGTGGAAGGATTTTAGGTTCATCTCCTTTGTATCAGTCAGGGTTTTGACTGGAATAAATGCTTCACCCCAGTTAGAATAATTTGAGAAGGATTTATTAACAAAGGGACTAATTTTATTTGATAGAGTCTTAGGGAGCCACAATGGATGGTCCAGGAATCCAGGGCAAGGAGCAGCAGAGCTGTTACCATTCTTAGGCTGATTGGACAAGGAGAGGGAAGAGTAACCAGAATT